AGTTTTGGATTCATAGAATGTGTTTATTCCACTCAATCCAATCAATTCATAGACAATTTGAAATGGAAAACAAAACGGAGGAAATTGTGAAGTTGCAGGCAGATTTGTGAATTTTTTAAAAGTAACGATTGAGTATTTGTCTAAAGAATCTGGAGTAAAGTTTTTCGAAGAAATTCAGAAATCGAAAGATGACTTGGATCCTGGATCCAGATGGATGGTCGTATTTGGGAAAAACCGCTTCTTGGTACAAGGTTTGGTGGATGTTGTGAACCAGGCTTACCTTCATCTCAAGGTTATCGATCAAGAAATGACCTTTGATCAAGCCGTGGCAGATTGTGCGAGTCGAAAGGGCCATTTGGTCTCAATTCACAGTCAAGAAGAGAACGATTTTGTTTGGGAACTCGGTAAGAAATCGAAATGATTCAATTCTGAAAATTCCTGATTTTCGTAGAAATTTATGCTTTGTAAACCAAAAACAATCGATATTTATTTCAGCGAAAACTGTTCCTTCGAATCGGTCGTTCTGGATCGGAGTGAAGGTTGAATTTTCTTATTAAAAGACATAAATAAAAGGAAAGTAATAATTCTTTCACGATTTTCGGAAGGCTTTTTGTGAAAAAATGATTCGTTTGACTGGTAGTTCTTTGATAGAAATAATGGGAAACTAGAATAATTTCAAGAAAAAGAAAGGAAAATCGGATCGAAATATCGAAATGTCTAAACATAAAAATTTCTTTATTCAGAAAAATCCGGACAAAGGAAATCTTTGGAATGGACGGATGGAAGTTCGGTGGATTTCACGAATTGGAAGATTGGAGAGCCGGATTCCAGAACCCACTCTACGGTGAGATTTCCAACTTGAAATCATCAATATTTATTCCAATTTCCAATGCATAATTAATCCCAAAATATTTCGATCAATTTGAGGAAATTTCTTTTTGTGAAATAACGCAAAGTGTTTTATCAAAGGATTTCCATCAGAAATGAACTCATTTCAGCTTCAGACCGGCGATGGGAAATGGCGGGTCTATCTTCCTATCAACGAGCATCGTTTCATCTGCAAAAGGAACTCTCAATTCTGAGAAATGCTTTGTTGTTCTTTTCTGTGGACAAAAACCAATAAATCCTATTTTATTCAATCTTCTGAAAACACACAACTGCACATTATCTTATTCTTTATTTCTTAAGTGTTTGTTCAAAATCTCATAAAGTTTTCCCAAAAACCCAGAATTCCGTCTGAAGCTGCAAGCATCTTGCTCCCTCGTCGCTCCTGAATAGACTATTAGATAAACGTGTTGAACATCAATGGACATCAGCATGAGGAAATTGACAATTCTTCGTGAAGGTCGCTCTTCCCGTCCCTCAACTCGTCGATTTGTCTTTGATTTTTTTTCTCTTTTTTGTTCTCACTGTTGGTTCTGTAGGCGGAGATTTTCCGGAGATCAGAAAAAGCAGAAAACCCGTGTGGGCTTGAATGAGAGCTTTATTGTTGTGGGTAGTTATTAAATGATCGTAATGAAGAGAGATGCTTTCAAACAATGATCATGAATCACCTTCTTATATATGAACGGGGTTCTGGTTTGAGATGGGCAGATGGCTTTCTGTGAGTTTTGGGTCTTTGAGCCAGATTCTTCAAATCACTCACTCATTGATTGCCGGGTAGTGAATCGAGTTGTATCCTTTAGTGTATTTTGATCTAGAGAGGAATGAACTACTATTTCCTGAACTTTCTTGAACTACTTGTTGTCTCTTTGACAGAATTCCACCTGAAGCTGCAAGTATTTTGCTCTCTCGTGGCTCCTGAATAGACTATTAGAGAAACGTGTTGAACATCAATGGACATCAGCATGAGGAAACTGACAATTCTTCGTGAAGGTCGCTCTTCTCGTCCCTCAACTCGTCGATTCGTCTTTGATTTTTTTCTCTTTTTGTTCTCACTGTTGGTTCTGTAGGCGAAGATTTTCAGATGAGCAGATGGCTTTCTGTGAGTTTTGGGTTTTCGAGCCAGATTCTTCAAAGCACTCACTCATTGATTGCCGGGTAATAGATCGAGTTGTATCCTTCTTTACCGGTGTATTTTGATCTAGAAAGTAATAAACTACTATTTCTTGTTGTTTGTTTGACACTACACATATTGATCGTGATTCGGTCGATATCCGGGATCGTGGCTGTGTCGTCTTGGTTGAAAGTTGATCGGCGTCTTGTACTCACTGAACATTCTCAGGTTGACTTCTAAAGGCATTAAGACACTGAATGCCGATGATAAATTCCCTTATCCGGAATTGGCAACTGGTAGGGTTTCGGCTCACTGAAATTGGGTGTTTTGAGTGACTTCAATCGACTAAAAAACCTGGGTTTTCTTTCGAGTCTTGGAACTTTGGCCGGACGATTCACCCTACCTCGCGGCACACTGATTCGGCCACCAGCACTGAAAACTCTTATTTTTTACCCAATCTATGTAATCTATGTAATGTAATTGTAAATTACCGTAATCCCCCAACGAGATGGCAAAAGGCCAGTAGACAGAGAGTCTGGAATTCAGTTTTAGTTACAGGATTCATTTAACGCAAACCAGTAGAAGGATCCGTAGAAACCCCATTTTTACGAATGCGACAGATGTTGGCTTTGGTGAACGATATGACTCTTAAGATATTGAATGGTGCGTTAGAAATAATTGTGAATGCTAATTTAAGGAGGGGAAGATGTTAAGTGCGTTGAAGGAGGGAGAGGTTCCGTGAAGAGATAAGGTTTCGAGAGGTAAGGATCTCAGAAGTATGTATGTTTGAAGGAATGCTGCAATTGTGCTGCGAAAATAGGAAAAAAATTTTGCGTTTTAAAGTTCAACAATGAGAGGGGCCAATACTTTTACTCATGACTGTAGTTATAACTCATCAAAAAAACTATGGACACTTATGGAAAAGGAGAAAGTTTAGGATTGACTTTTTGATCTGGTTTGGTCAGCAAAAATGGCTTGTGGAACAACCGGGCTAGAACAATTAAGGTACGCATGTCACCCGAAACTCAAAGATAATATTATTAATCTATAGCCTAATAGTAAGCTGTCAAAGTGGCGAATGTTGAGAAGTGATTGCCTTCAGCCATCGATGTGGTCAGCATTGAGGTAGTCATGATGAGGCCGGCTATCATATTTGTGATCATCTAAAAGTTGGATGTGGAAATGGTCTAACGTGGAAATTCTTTCCAAATACTCCAAATCTCAAATTTTTTTATGACAACGTTTATCAGATGCATATCAATCAAAATAACAACTAAACTTGAAAAATATCTCCATCTGCTTTGTGGCATGCATCAAGATGAATGAATGAGCCCACGGTGGCAGGCAAGTAGGACAGACCAAGATCATCTCAGGCTTTGATCAACGCTTTCTTCAATGAATCGATGCTTTTGTTTGATTTTTGACAGCCTTTGACTCGAGAACCCGCCACACCAAATGATCCATGGGATTAAGGTCAGGCGAGCTGGGAAGCCACTCTTTAAAAGTGATGAAACCCTGAAAGTTTTGGAAAAACCAATCCTAAACAAATCGAGCTTCGTGAGCCGGTGCCCCGTCCTGTTGGAAAGTCCATTGCCTCGATCCAAAGTCCTTTCGACCCCTTTCCAATCGATCTCTATCACTTCCCTTTTCTTCCGTTGCATAAATCGTGCAATAGTTCGAAAAAAAGAGATTCCTTTGCATCCAAACGATTCTGAATCGATCGTGCCGAAGTATAAGCAATCATCAGGTCAAGAGACACGTTGATGAAGGCCGATGTTTGATTAATGATGAATGGAACGCTTTACCATTTTGGGAAATTGAAAATCTAAATGTGAGAAGTTATTTTTTAATGTCATATCTGTTAGAAAAAACGATAAAAAAAATTGAGTGAAAACAAAGAAAACTACTTTCAATGAAGGAACCTCCACTGGTCGTAATTATGGCGCACCCTGTATTAGGTTGAGGAAAAAATAATGTGCGTTTGAATTTCGGAATTGGGGAATTGAAATTAACTTTAACCCAACCCTTACGACTAGTGCGCTTGCAGAAATGTTTGATGTTGACCAGAAGACAATCGACATCCATTTGCACTTGGATTAATTACGAGAATGTCAAAAGAGGAATAAACAGCTATTTACCCGACAAACCCCCGAAACCACTCCCAAGCCTGATGGAAAGAAAATAACGCTCTGTTGCTGGTGGAACTCAAAAGTTTTGATGCACTGTGAGTTAGCTAATCCAGGAAAAACATTGATGCTGATCTCTATTCAAAACAATTGACTAGAGTTAACGATGCTTTAAAGAAATTGGGGCTCAATCTATCAAAGATTCGATTTTTTGAACGTAAAACCCCACACTTGCAAAAATCACTCAAAAAAAATTGACGAGGTCGGCTGGAAGTTGCTTTCTTATGCGCCTTACTCTCCTGATTTTGTATGATTTTGTATGTTTTTATGACGAAAAACAGGTAAAATAATGAGATGAAGAAAGGGGCGTTGAACTAGTATCACCAAAATAAAAAAATGTTTAGAAAAGGTGTAAGCTTTAGCGCCGAAAATTTCTCAAAATGCACCCTCATAACCATTTTATTTCAAAAAATGTAGACGTTCATTATTTAGCTGAATAACTTTAACTTAATTCTAGTGGTTTATAAAAGTTCGACCGGAGCAATCATTTTATTTTTCGCGTGCTCTTGAATTACGCCTTTCTATTTCTGTCACCATTTTTCTTCTTTCGTGCAAAAACCACACTGTCTATCCATAAAGCGCCTAGTTATATGCTTGTCTTGTATTCGAATCCTTTTCTTCCAAAAATTATTCCGGAAAAACCGTTCTTTTTGTTTACGAGGACTCCTTCCTACCTCAATCTTGCTCTTTTTAACATTTTATCTACTTAAATTCGTTTTTAATTTTGTTTTCAGAGAATGTCTGTTCAACCAGTCAACCCAAAGCCGTTCCTCAATGGACTCGCCGGAAAGCCAGTTGTGTGCAGATTGAAGTGGGGAATGGAATATCGAGGCGTCCTCATCTCGGTCGACGGTTACATGAATGTCCAGGTGGGGTTGTCTTTGTGTAAAGTTTTTATGGCATAGCTTAAAGCTAGTTTGGAGAGGTACGTTCTAAATTTTGTTAGTTTTTATGTCGCTTGTGAACAGTCAGATATATGACGAGTAAGCTTGCTTAGGCCTAGGCATTCACAAATAAATTTTTTATCTTTTAGATGGCTAACGCCGAGGAATACATTGATGGAACAAACACAGGAGCTTTGGGAGAAATTTTAATAAGGTGATTAATGTGACTTTTATCTAATTTGTTTAAATCTAGGTGCAACAACATCCTCTACATCGGAGGCGCCGAAGACTCGGAAGGTTGATCGCCTAGTTTTCATTATTTATCATTTTCATTATTATTTTGCTGACTTTTTGAGTGTGTAGCGTTATTATTGATCTCTTCCGTATTTTTATGAATAAAGTTTAATTTGTTGAGTTAATTATATTAACGGTTCATGGTGCATGAATCAAACGTAATACCTATAAATTGAAAAGTTTACATGCGAATTAAAAGGAAATGTTGTTGCGGTCGTGAAGCACTTATCGGAACTCAGTTTTATGGCGATGAAACATTTAGGGAGCTTGAGATGGGCCGCTCCGGCGACTCCATCTGGCTCCGGGGAAGGTTCTCCAGAGGACGAGTAAATTGGCAGGTTGGTTGATTAAAAACTTTTGCTAGCGAAAGCCGAATCTCTTTAGTAACGAAAAGTCGCCAGAACCAGAGCTTGGAAAAATGGCAGATATATCTCGGAAAAATAGCAGAGATAAGTATGTTTTTTGAATTATGCTGATCGTTGCTGTAGTAATGACGCTAGTAGGTTCGAAATTTAAAAAGTATTTGACAACTTTCGAGCTAAATCACTACAATTTGAGTAGAAGAAAAGAGACACTAACTTATAGAAGGTTCAACGAAGTTATTGTGTTAAGTTTTAGCTGAGCAAATCTTGGCAGCAACTAATAAGCACAACAATTGCAGATCTCGAGATCATGATCGTGACCGTGGGGATCGAGATCCAGGGGACCGTGACTGTGGCCGTGGGGACCATGAACGTTCACCAGAAAGACGCAGAGGTGGCGACCGCTCACCGAAAAGGCGAAGACGGTTAGTTTTTAAAATTGTCTTTGTTTACAGCTGATTTAGGTCACCATCCCCTAAACGTAAAGCTTCCCCAGAAAGGCGAAGACGCTAATGGAGCTTGCACCTTTTTTCGTGAAAATTATTTGGATCTCGATCACCAAAGCCTCATGCCAGTCCTGAACTGCGGGAACGATTAGTTTAACCTGGTTTGTATTCATTATTAGTGATTTAGGTCGCTAACGCGAAAAGGTGCTCGACGTGAAGAATCACCAGAAAAGGCAAAAGAAAATGAAGCTCCTCAAAAAGTATACAAGAAAACTTTGTTGAAGTAAATACATTTTAGGAAAAGAAAGAGCCTTTTGATTTATTGCGTTGGACTGGAGGCGCATACATCCCACCAGCGAAGCTGAAGTTGATGCAAGAACAAATCCAGGTAATGCATCAAATGATAACGGGGCCACAGAAAAAATTTAGGATAAATCGGGTGAGCAATTTCAACGATTGATTTGGGAGCGTCTGAAGAAAAAGATCCACGGTCTCATCAACAAAGTCAACGCCAGCAATTGTGCGAGAGCTTCCTCAAGAAAACATTATCCGTGGAAAGTTTGCTTTTAGCATTTTCTCAAGTAAACAAAAATTTTAGGGGTTTGCTGACTCGATCGATAATTCAAGCACAAGCCTTTTCTCCAACATTTTCACATGCTCGCTGGTTTTGTTGGAGTGATTAATTCCAAGTTTCCTGTTATTGGTGAATTGACGCAACTAAGTATTTTTCACAGTTTTAGGCTTTAGAAATTATGTATTTAGGCGTTTGATTGTGCAGTTCAAGCGATCTTTTCGTCGAAACGACAAAGCAACAACGGTGACTGTCAGTAAATTTCTCGCACATTTGATCAATCAACAAGTGGTATGCTGTTTTTCTTTGAATATGAATTCGATGCATATTTAGGCTCACGAGTTGCTTGCTCTTGAGATTATGCTTTTGATGCTAATCATTGGTGATGCCGGTGAAAGTGAAGAGGAATTAGAGGAAGAGGACGAGGATGAAGAAGGTGGCAATGAGGCAGCAGCAAACGGTAGACAGTCAATTATATTAAATTTTATAAAACTTCAGACGAATCTAATGCAATATTTAAATACTTATTTCAGCTCAACCTCAACAAATGGAAATCATTGACGGCACTGAGCAAAATCTCGTTGCTTTTGGTCGCGAAGTTTACTTGATTCGAATTCAATGATCCCTCGACTATCAAGAAGCAGCTCACGAACTTCTCAAAATGGGTGTCAAGCCAGAATTGGAGGTTGGGCTTGTTGATAGAATATAAACATTTTTGGCTCTTTCTAATTACTAGGTATTTTAACTGTGGAGCCCGCTTTTCTTAAATTTGAAGGTACCCGATTTTTTTAAGGTACTTACTAATAGAAAAGAGCCACATTTTTTTCATTTTAGCCGGAACTCATTCACATGCTCGTTGATTGTTGTGCACAGCAACGTACTTATGAAAAGTTTTATGGACTTCTCTGCGAGCGTTTTTGTCGGCTGAAACGTGAATTTCAAGTTAGTTTCAAAAGTATATGACCATTTTTTTATTTTTGGCTACTTTTGAGACGATAGCTCGTGAGACTTATCAAACTATCCATCGCTTTGATATTACGAAACTGAGGAATATGGTAATCAGTCATTTGCTTTTCACAGATGCCATTACTTGGGATGTAGGTCTTTATGCGAATATTTACATTTTCCTATCCATATTTAATGCGTTTGAGGGATGTTTTCCTCGGGACAACCCAGCCAATACTCGCTTCGCCATCAACTTCTTCACATTAATCGGTCTTGGTGGACTGACGTAAGAAAGAAAGCTAATAAGTGTATAAATTTTAGGGTGGATCTTCGCGAGTTTTTGGGAAAAGGCGGAAGGAGGAAGAAATCTGACTCCGAATCAAGCTCTGAATTCTCTTCATCATCATCCGACGATGACAGTGACGCTGATACAACTTCTTCAAGCTCCTCAGATTCAGAGTCAAGTGATGATTAGTAATTATACTTATACTTTTATACTTTTTTATACAGTGCCGAAGCAAAGCGAAGCGTGAAAACAGTCATCATCAGCTTCTTTGAGTAAGTGTCCAGCCTAGATTTATCAGAACGGTTTTGTTAAGAATTCTTCAAGAATGCTTCATGATTCCTCAAGATTGAAAGGCCAATGCTTTTTTTTTTAATGCTCAATGCAAAGAGGATTTTCTCGTGCCTGAAGATGAAATAAACTTTGATGCAAGTGAAACCGACATTGCTGATAACCTATTGGCAACTGGCAAAGAGGAGCCTGATGAGGAACCTTCTCGAAAACGCAAAGTGACGCCATCCGAGATGGGGTCGAAGAAAAAAAGCTGTTTTGACCTCGAGATCAAGCTTATGGTTGCCGCTTTTGCGGAAAAGACGGACAAATCAGCCGCCGCTAGAAGATTCGGTGTTCATCGGCAAAATGTTCTCCAGTGGTGTAAGCAAAAGGACGATCTTGTGAAACAAAAAGGAAAACAATTGAAGGTGCCTTGAAGGTGGTGGTTCTTATCCACTGCTTCAAAAAAATGGTTCGATTCCGGAGGGAACAAAACGTCTCTCGGATGCTCGAGCTGAACAAGCAACAAATGAAATCAACGATCATCTTGCCAATATTGTTTTGGATGATAATGGTTATGATAGTGATGTCTCTATTGATGTTTGTTAATTGATTTAACCTGATACTCTTTAAGCAAAAAGCTCTCAGTCAGTTAGCTTTAGGATAAAACGTTTATGATAAACGATAAAGTTTAGGATAAAAAACGACAAAAGATAATCTTCGGAACAATAATTGGCTGCTGGACTCTGTCGACGTAATGGGCCGCCATTCGCTTACTGATACTGAAATTTTTAGCGGTAAATGTAACTGGTCTTCAATACTTGGCTCATTAATTTTGTTTGTTGTTATTGTAAACGATTACTCCGAGTTTTTGGAGGGCTTTTTCTCCGATTTATTTATGCTTTACGGTTTGTATGTTGGATTGATTATGTTGATGGAAAAGTCAACAACAGAACAAATAGAACAGAACAACAACAAACAACAGGCATGCATCTCGAATATTCTTGATTTATTTTTGTTTTTGTTTCTTGTTGTTGCGCTTGCTTCCTCGTTTATCATCATTCTGATCATTCACTTTGCTACGGTTTCTAGCGTGTTTAGTGTAATTGCCATTTTTGTAATTGTTTGTTGCATTGTTTTTACAGGTTACAAAAAGGGATGGTGTTGCAGGTCACAAAAAGGAATAAAATAATATATTTTTAACAAGTAAAAGTATAAATCTACAATTAATTTAAAAAGGTATTGATAAGAGTGATTTATTACTCGAGAAAAGTTTATTCTCTTTCCCATAGTTAAGGCAACTTTTAAAATACAAACATTTTAGACTCAAGTTTTGTGATTTTCAATTTGAGTGACAATGAAGACTTTGTTGAGAAATCCCCGAAGAGAACCCTGAAAGTCATTCGGTTTTTCTCCTAATTTCTCAACTCTCTTACATTTCTTTCGGTTAGTTGAGCATTTGACACGGTGATACTATTTCGAGTGCTTCTTCTCTTCTCTCGCAGTAAAACAACGTAAAAAACACTGCAATCGTTGTCATTAGCAATTATTTTGATTTTGACAACAGTTTTGATTCTTGAGTCAGATCCTCTTAACCTCTTAACCAGGATAACATCAATTTGATGATAACTTAGGACTTGAGCCATGAGCGTAAAGGTCAAAGCAATTCAATTCTTTGGCTTTGCTCTTTAGACGACTTATCTGGTAATCTAATAGAGAATCCAATAAGTGAATGCTTTCTTAAGCAAAAGCTTCAAAAACTACCACGGAATGAGCGTCGAAATAAGCCAAAGAGCAGTGAAAAGAATAAAAGTGGCAAATGTTGAGAAGTGAGTGCCTTCAGCCATTGAGGTGGTTAAAATTGAGGTCGTCATGATGAGGCCGGCTATCAGATTTGTGATCATCTGTAGATATAAAAGATAGATAAATTGGAAAGGAGATTACGATATTTTTAATAATAGACATCTTTTGAGAAAACGTAAAGAACCACCTGAATCGCCAGTTTCATTTCTTTTTTGATTTGATTCGCTTGATGATTGCTTATACTTGATCGAGAATTTTGCAAGCTTCGTAGTCGTTTCCTCATCAAATAAAACACAGAACAGTCAAGAAATGTTTGAAATGGCACAATTGTATAACAAGGAAGAACCTTAAAGTCTAGCTATTAAAAAGTCTTTTGTTTTTAAACTAAATTCTGCTATCGGTAGGCAGATTACTGTTGAATATTGACCTGTGTTATATAAATCATCATTTGTCCACATTTTCCATCTTGTATGAAGAAAGTATTCGCGAGATATGGTACAAAAATGCAATGACAACCGGCTGAAATCGAGAAATCGAGAAATCGAGAAATGAACACTTCAAGATCAAAGTAACTTACGAATTGCAAAAACAATAGCAGTGATTAGTGGATAAACGATCATCACAAAGTATTGAAATGGCTTTGTTCTCTCAAAAGTTTTATAAAAACGACCCTCAAATGCTAAAGCACAGAAACGATTGATGCCGAGAAAGAGCTGAATTTTTTTGCCATCATCCAACCCTATCATCCTTTTCCCCAAATCTCAAAATTATCTGACAATAGCACATGAAAAAGAATGGTGATTCTAAGCTCGATTTGAAGCTCCACCCAGGTTTGTACTCAAGTCTCTTCAATGAAATAAGTTTTAGCATCGTTCAGATACAAGTTCTATGAATGGATCATCTGTTTTTCAATCAATCTACACAAAAATTCATTTAACAAACCTTTGGCGGAAAGCCAAGAGAAATTGCCGTGAATGCGGCGCCCCATATCGTGTAATCCAGCCATGGAATCGCTTCGTTAACATGCCTAAATCGTAATCGAAAAGCGTTGATATTTAAATTGATCCCTTTCTTTTCAAGTGATCTATTTTAAACCTGTACTTACCAAATAGCTGACGGGATTCCCCAAATAACATGACACGCGTTGATCGTGATAAAGTTTGCTAAATCGACGAAAGCATAGTGCTCGATTATACCTGGAAAGCAGATTGATTTGTGAAAAATCTAACTGGAAGAACTTTAAGCACGTTTTTTATTCACAAACCTTTCAAAATCGAGTTCTTCCTGACAACAAAAAGGCCACTGACACCGAAAAAGACGCCCACCGAACCGAACTGAAGAGTTTCGGCTCATAAACGTAACCCTGAGCATAGCTTTTATCAGCTAATGGCTTCAATTTACTAAATAATTATAGCCATAGATAGTTCTAATGAATGCTTTGATCTGTAAGCCTTAACGGAATCAGTCTCAAGAGCCTAACTTCTGACTGACCTAAGCTTTTGATTGTTTTTATAACAGCTAGTCTAAGCAGCTAGTTAATGCAGAAGAAATTTCGGTCCGTATAAAATCTATTTTTTAATCTAGAAATTTTATTTGATTTTCTTTTGTATATTTGTACTCTTGGATATTTACTTTAGTCTATTTTTACGCTTTTTCTTAGTCAGAGCTTTCACTTTTTAATTGATTTTTAAATTTTCAGCTTTCACTTTTTAATTGATATTTGCTTTAGTTCATGGTGAATCAAAAGTATGTTGTGCCCGCGTGTCTTCTTCGATTTCAAGATGGGCAAAAACGCTCTCGAATCACATCGTGATCTCTCTGTCGCTTTTGGAGAACGAGTTATGACCGAAAGATCCTGCTGGCCCAATTCCGAGAAGCTATTGAACCTCTTGAAGTTTCCCAATCGTAATGGACGATGGACGATGCGATCGTTCTACATGAATTGAACACAGAATCTGGGAGCACGCGTTTCGATCAGCCATATCTTGCTTCTTAAGTCGAAAAGGAGCCATTGTTTTTATCACCGAAAGATCATGCCAGCTCTGGTTTGCCCAATTCCGAGATGGTAATGAATCCCTTGAAGACGAATCGCATGGACATCGTGCCACAGCCATCGACAACAATGAATTGGAACAATTAATTGAAGCTGATCCAATGCAAACAACACGAGAACTTGCCAAACATCTCCAATGTGATCATTCAACAATTGTACGCCATTTGGAAATAATTGGAAAGACAAATCGTAATGGACAATGGGTTCCACATCAATTGAGTGTTGAGAATCTGGGAGCACGCGTTTCGATCAGCCATATCTTGCTCCATAAGTCGAAAAGAAGCCATTTTTTTGAGAATATCTTGACGATGGATGAGAAGTGGATTCACTTTGATAATACTTCTCGAAAAAGGTAATGGCTGAGCAAAGGTCAAGCGCCAATTCCAACTCCAAAGCCGGATTATCATGGGCACAAAGTGATGCTGTCTTGCTGGTGGAATATCAATTTCTTGTTTATTTCATATTCTCAGAACCCGGAAAAACAGCTGATCCATCTTGTTTTATTCAACAGCTCAAGAAGTTGACCAAATCTTGCGTCAAAAGGGTTTAAATCCCTCGACTGTCAATTTTCTCCGTGATCCCAGCTAGCTCACACAGCAAAAGCCAGAGGAGGCTAGGGAGTTAGAGGAATCAGGATGGAAGGTCTTATCACATGCGCTATATAGTCCAGACTTTTCACCATCTGATTTTCACCTCTTCAGATCGAACATTTCCTTGTGAATTGCCAGTTTAAGAATGCGCAAGAGGTTGAGATTTGGATGCCCGACTACTTTCAATCACAGGATCAAGAGCTCTTCAATAAGGGGCCGCAATTTGAAGCAATGTTGGATGAATGTTATAGATAACGATGGTGCTTATTGTTTGGAATAAATTGTTAGCTAAACGAATTTTGATTTAATATTTGTAAAAAAGCGAAATTTCTTTTGCATTAACCTAGTAGCTAAGCAATAAACTACAGGGTGACCAGAAAATACGGCGAATTTTTTGCGCATCGTCAAATTTAGCCCTCAGCGCTTTTTAAAAAGATTTATCTCGAAAGTTTAACAAGAATTAACAACTTCAAGCTCAACAATAACTTTTCTATCAAAAATTCCTACATTAAATGTTCAAAATTTCCACCTTTGGCCTCAACACATTTGCTAAGCCGCTTCGGAAAGTTCTGAATGATGGTCGCGCATTCTTGCGTTGTAATTTCGCTCCAAGCGCGAGTCAAGGCCGTTTTCAAACCGGCAACCGTGGTGTATCGATACTTGCGAAGCCTTTCTTCAAGAATTGACCACACAGAAAAGTCCAATGGGTTCAAATCTGGTGCGTTTCCCGGCCACACATCCTTGTCCCAAAATCCAGAAAAGAGCTGCTGACAGAGCTGTCGAGTGGAAGTAGCGCCATGGGCTGGAGCCCAGTCTTGTTGTAGAGCAAAACCGCTTTGGCCAAAGTCTTTTGCAACCCAGGGAACTAAAACATCCTTTAGAACCTTTTGTTGATACACGGAAGCGTTGATTTTGACGTTGCGATCGATGAAGACAAGAGGTGTCTTTCCGCTTGAACACACCCCGGCCCATGCCATGACAGAAGCTGTAAAATGACGCCTCACCATAATTTTTGCTGCAAAAGTGTTCTTAAGACCTTTCTTCAACAGCTGGCGATGATTTTGAAAGTTGTGCTTTGGCTCGATGGTAAAAATTTTCTCATCTGTGAATAAGACCTTATCAAGATTCTGTCCAGCGACCAGTCTCTTCATCAATCGCGCTCGTTGTAGTCTCTTTGCTTTCATAGGATCGTCCAAGAAGTGTGCCCGGGCAATTTTGTAACCTCTCCTTGTACTAACCGTGGGATTAACTTTGAATAAATCTCGAAAAAGAGGGATAGGTTGCCTGCTCTTTACAATTTTGAAACATTCTATTAAATCCGTGACCAAGCGATGTCTAAGAGATTTAAGACCAAAAATTTTGAGTCTATCTGTGCAACTAAAGT